CGTCATTGACAAATACATAGGACATAAAAGTTTTACAGGAACAAAGTTTGGTCAACTAATGTCAACGTTATACTGCCAAAGTGTTTGAGTTCACTAAGGTTGAAAATTCTGCATTCGAATGAACAATAGGCAAAACCAGCAGAGAAAAGTATTGTTTATACGCATAAGTATCTTTTGGTCATAATAGTTTCTGTCGACATTCGAATAACACTTTGAACCTAAGTTTTGAAACAATATATAAGATTGGTGTGCTTAATGTCAATGGAATAGCCATTCCTTGTATGACACCTTTTCCTGTTATAGGAAACTGTTGGTAGTAAAAACCAAAATAAGTTTTGTATTATAGCTCATATCGTTTATAGTAAACTCAGTCGGACATAAACATAATGAAACCTGCTCTAGTTGCAGCACATGTTACAACCCGTACTTAAAGTATTAAATAAGTCAACAAAACCTGTTGGTGGTATACTGAGTAAGTATCTTCAAAGGAGTATTTTTTACCATTCACACAATAAAGTCTTCTGGTGGTCAAAAGAGCAAAACAGGCTTTAGTCGTCATTGTGTTTAAGGTTAGTTTACAATATCGTCCTTGAGGACTTTGTAAGTTTGTTGTTATAGAATTATATGACTCAGGGTTTTTAGTCGTAATAGTATAAACCATTTTGTCTTCTGCCATTTACTTAGCAAATAAATTTTAATGAAATGTTGTGGTCGTCAAATATTTTTTATAACGTCTGGGAAACTATATTTTAAGTTCAAACGTTTCACCTCCTTTCATAACGTATATCTTGTCAATGGCATTATATGAAACACCACAGCAACTAATGTCGGGTTCTATTTCTTTGATGTTTATATCGTCTGCCTCTGTCAAAAGTTCAATAGTTCTTTCAAAACTTCATGAGGTGCAATGACATATGAGTTCACTTTTACAGGGTTTGTGTTCGACCAAGTTTAACATTATACTTAAAGCTTGACAAATCTTCTCCTGAGTTTGAAGTTGTCTTTCAGTTGTTTGGTAGTCGTTTTCGAAATATCTGCAACAGAACTTAAGTCTCTGCTAACTTCAGGATATGTTGGTTCTTTTACAGGAACAATTGTTATACCATCTTCGTCTTTGTATGGTTTCCCCACTTCAACATCTCTGTCTTTGACATTGACAACAACACTTTGACTGTTTGTTTGAGTTGGTGAATTTAACTTCACATCTGCCACCGCCATTAAACCTTTTGAAACACTTACGCTTCTATTTTTCGGAAATGACATTTTACTTAGAATAAAAAGATGGACGTATTCGGATATCTCTTTGAATTGAAGCAGAACAAAGTTTACACACACAAACAATACAAATACATTGACAGAATAGTTCTTTACACAAACAATGGAAAATGTTATAGAATAGCAGTCTTTGCTGAACCAAAATATTTTCATAAAGCAAAGAAAGTTGGTATAACCGAGATGGTGAAAGTTCTTGACGTTGACAAAAATATAACTTCAAAACTGACCGATATTACTAAAGGAAAGTTTAATAATTACAATATTATGTCAAAACTGGCGTACTGTCAATATTTGACGGAGAGAAGTCAGTTCAAGAACAACTTACTGACCTGCTGCCAAAATCTGCTCGATGGAAGCTGTCGTTATGCCAATCTGAGGAGCCCCAGCAGGTTTCATCGAACGAATCTTCAAAAGAGCATCTTCCGTGAAAAAGTGCTATTGGTTTTGTAAACTTCTTTGCTTTCAATTCATCTGGACCGTCTCTGTCACCAGTATATTGTATTTGAACTGTACCAACAGTTGAAATACCACCCATAAAGTCTTCTGAGTCAGCAAATGGAATGCCAAGCCAAAAGTTTTGAACGGTCTCCATTTGTATATTGAGTTTTTTGACCACCTGTATGAGTCCATACTTTCACATATGGCATAATAGAACTTTGCATTTCAGGGTTAATAGTTGTTGTGAAGTTGTTGTTAAAGTTCATAGCATCTAATGTCAAGTTGTATGACCTCATATCCTCAACTGTAGAATATTCTTCTCTTGGATAATATTTGCCATCTATGTTTTTATATATATTTAATACCAGGGTTGTAGAAACAAGAATAGTCATTTATAGTTCGTCTGAACAGTACAAACATAGTATCTGCATGTTTCATTGCAGTTGTTTAAAGCAATATCTGTTCTTGCACCTGGTCAGCACTTTGGTTTCCAACTTCACCTGCAAAGTCTTTGACAGATATTTGGTGTATAGGGAACATAAGTGGAACTGCAATATATTTGGCAGCTAAAGCATTTGAAATATCTGGTCCAACATATAGACTGCAAGTCTGCTTTCTATTCTCTTGCATTCAAACTGTTCGCATGTGAACTTAACTGGGTCCCAAGCAGTTCCAGCAGCATTGAAATAATAGTTTACTTCATTGTTGAAGTTTGAGAAAACCAAAGTCTAAGTCAACTTTGTCTTTGCAAAATTCGGCGAATGACGTTTGATTTTCCCTTTACGTCTGTAATAGTGAATGGGTCTTGTGTTGGTGCAATGACTAAGTTATTTTTGCTTGGAGTAAGTTCAATAGAAATTTTTCCTGCCCAGTTTGGCAAGTATCTTAAAAACCTGAAGATGAGGAAAGATGACAAAGGAACTCTAAGTTTCAGTTTTACTTTGGTTACTGCTGCTGCAGTTTGTCCAGAAAGGTCAACATAAACTCCTGGAACGTTAGGGTCAAGTCTTCTTATTTTTTCAATATTTGCATTACGGTCTGTTTGTTCTCTAGCTTGTGGTTGTACTGAGTTTCTCAAAGCGAACCATTCATAGTTTGCCCATGTTACTGTTTGAACTAAGTCAGAGTTAGAATATATCTTATATCCCATGAAAACTTCTGGAGCATATTGGTATCCGACATAGAAAATTCCATTGCAACCTTTTTGTCAGACAACTTGGCAGAAGGTTTTATTTCAATGTTCTTGTTCCACGTATAAGAATGAGTTGTCAATAGAAATAATGTGAAACCTGTCGCAAGCAATATCTACTGTTGTTGAAGAACCTTCTCCAAACTCACCTACGTTTCCATAAGAAACAGCAGTTGTAATTCGTAAGTTCCAGGAACTATTTCTGACCTTCTAATGCATTGTCGCATTCGTTATACATTCGGAAACATTTCCATTCATGGCATCCAAAACTGTTGGCGTTATATTCTGAGCGGCGTACATTTCATATGGGTAAAAATATAGAATAGTTGGATTTATGTGTCATAATAGAACCCACTCGTACCAAGCTTTACTTTCTTCCTGACTGAGTTTTTAATCTTCTTTTTCCTTCATTGCACTACTTTCACTAGATGAAGTTACTTCTTCACTACTTTCACTTTGTTCTACTCTCTCTTTTCTTTGGTGTCGCTTGGTAAACTTGCCCTCTGCTTCAAGTTGTTGCATCTTTGCCTCATGTTCACCTAGTATGTTGTAAATTTCCCATGTCCTTTTTGCCTTTGGGCTCTGGTCGCCCATCTCAGGTAACCTATATCCTAGAAAGAGTTTGTCATAGTTTGTATTTGAGTCGTCGCTTATTGTTTGCATGACTCTTTCCTGAGTTTCCGGTTCAAGCTCTTCAAACAGAGCTTGTCCATATGGAATAAGCTCGTTTCCAAATATATGTTTTTGTAGCCATTCTGGTTTTCTTTCCATGTTACCAATAATATCTTTTGTGAATGGGAAAGCTTTTACCCAATGTTTCAGGTCTTGCGTCATTTATTTCTGTAGTTGGTTTTATTTTGTCAAGGAACATGTTTTTCAATACTAACATTTCATTTGGTACTGTCCATTTGAGTTTTCTTAAATATTCATCCCTTCTCGGTTCATTGTCTGCAAAGTAAGTTTTTATGACATTTTGCAAACTTTTCGTTTGCAAGGTCATGTACAATTAGGTTCTCTTCCTTCTCTCTCCCTAACTCTTTCTAAACTCTTCACCAAATATACATCTCTATGGTTCTGTGTAGTTCTTTGAGATAAATGTTTTAGAACGTCAGGGTTTATATTTCCATCAGCCATGTTCATTTCATACTGGTCAAAATATCTGCATCTTTCATATCTTTCAATGGCATTAAAGCCGCGCTGGAAAATACCAGCTATATCTGGTTCACCATTCACTTCCATTGCGTCTACAACTTCTTGGAATTGTGGTTGTAAGTTTATGAACCACCTATCCGGATTAGCTTTATGACCCCATCTCATTGTAGTTCCATAGTCTGCAGAAACAAAAGTAGGTTTGTTTTCCACATTGGTTAGGTTCTGAATGAACTTTAAACAATGTTTCATTTCTATATGTTTTGTTGAAATTTAACCTTTTATTTCACCGAGTTCAGCCAAAGATTGAACGTTATATGGTCGTAAGTAAAAAGGGTTATTGTATTTTGCGTACATTATTTTCAGTACTTCCATTCTATGCTGAATATTTTCATCTGATGTTGGAGTCTTTTGTATGTCGGCGAACATTTTTCGATATTCTTCTACTATGTCAGCCGAATTTTTCTTAGACTCTTGGAAAGATTCCATATTCTCCGCATACACTTGTTGAAGGTCAAGATTTTTCGGCTGTTCCAAATCTTCATCTAGTTCTGTGAAGTTAGTTTCCAAAGGAGGGATTTGTTCGTTTCCTTCAGGCTCTTCTAGCTGTTGTTGCTGAACTATCTTCCATGTCTGGTTGTATCTGAACTTCTTCCTGTGGAGTTTCTTGTACCTCATCTGCTGGCATTTCATATATTCCGAGACCGTTTTTAACAAGTTCCCTATTTAAGTCATCCGCATTCATAAGCCTTTCTTCTTTCGTTCCGTCTCTATTTTTTACGCGTTTCATGATGAGAGTTGAATTATCATTTATCTCTGACATCAAATATCTCGGAGTAAATTCATTCATGTCATTTGGATGATATGCTATTAAATCATATCCCTTAGCGAGCTTGTATTTTCCAGGTTTGAAATTATATCCCATTTGGTGCTGAACCATAAAGCTAAATAGGTTCGGGTCAGTATTTCCTTCCTTGAACTTTCTAATAGCTTCTTTATATCTGTCACTAAAGTCAAGAGTATCTGGGTAACCATAATCTTCCTTAAGCATTTTTAAGAATTCTTGGTTTCCTTGTTCTCTACTTCTTTTATGTCCTTGCTCTGTTTGTGCTGGTTGTTGTGCAGGGTTTTGAACTGTTGGTTGTTGTGCAGGGTTTTGAACTGTTGGTTGTTGTGTTGGTTGTTGTTGTTGTGCATGCCTGTGTCTGTGTCCATGTGACGATGTAAATGTTTTAGGTAGTCCTGGTGCAGGTGCTTCTCTTGGAGGGTTTGGTGGTATATAAGTTCCACTAGCTAGTATATAAGTTCCACCAGCTGGTATATAAGTTCCACCAGCTGGCACATATGTTCCATCTGCAGCATAATGTCTTACCTGACTTTTCGTTTTTAAGAAAGCATTTACTAGGTCTGTTTTGGTCTGTTGTAACTCTTTTTCTTGACTTTCCACAACAGTTGCTCTAACGGCGTCATAGGCACTTTGAACTGCCTGTCTCGTTGCTGCATCTGTTATTTTCGTCATATTTTGTGCTACTTCTCTTAACTCTTTGTCGAAACCTTCAGACTTCAGTTTCTTTCCAGATGAGAAGTCGTTCACTAGTTTCACCTTACTATGAAGAGCTTCGAAGGCATTCTTAAAGTCAGCATTCATTAAAGCTTCATTTGAACTGTCTTCATCCGCTTGTATTTTTGTCCTTATTGACCTATAAGTTGGGCTGCTTTAGCGTTGGCTTGGGCATCTAACCAGTCATTATTAGCTTTTATATATTCTGCGCTTTTCATTGCCTTTTGCATGGCTGCGTCGTTATTTTTACTTTCTTGTGCTAAGTTTTCATACTGTACGGTTTGGTTTTGCAACTGTAAAAGTTTTTCTGCCTTTACATTTGCTTCAACTTCTTTTTTATACTCATCGCTATCCATATATGTCTTCAGGGCTTTTTTTTTATCTCTTCATCTTTCAGTACTTTATATTGAGTAGTATGGTTTTTCAAATTTATAACATCTTGTTCCATTTTTGCTACTTCTGCTTGCTTTTTCTGACACTTTTTTTCGCATATTCTTCTGTACTTAGTTCTTTCAGTTGTTCTTCTTTCTTCTTTTTCTCTACGTTTAACTCATTGAGTTTCTTTGTGTGTCTGTCATATTCTAGTTTCTTTTCGTTTTCACTTATTTGTTTCTGTATGTCTATGTTTGACTTTTTGACATCTGTTATTTGATTTTTGAGTGAACTCAAATTCATTTGACTTTGAGGGTTATAAGCTGTTCCGTCTGCAGCTCCACCATAGCCTGCCATTTTCGCTAAAAGTGCCGCTCTTAAACCTCCACTCTGTGCACCAATAACTCGGTTTAAAAGCATAGGGTTGCTTGACATTTGTTGCAACATAGTGGGGTCATTCATCATTTGTTGTTGCAACTGTTGTTGCGGTGTTAGTTTTACTATTGGATGTTTCAATGCTCCCTTCCTCTTACGTATATTCTTACGTAGCTTACGTGGCATTTTAAGTGAAGTAAAAAACGGTTTTTGACGGATGTTTATATGACACTTTTGTTCAGCACAAAAAACTACTCGGTCAAAGTGTTGTCAGTTTTGTAAAATAACCGTCCTATCTCATTCTATAAGGGGAAAAGGCTTCTCAAAGTATACTTCCTTGGAACGCCTGTAACTTTTCCTGTAGCGACGATAGACCCTTACTTGTCCGGACAAAGTTATACTATTTTGAGTGCTCTACAAAAAAGTCAACGGCTGGTCGGCTGGGGTTCGGTCCTCCTCTTGGGTCTTGGGCAAAATTTCTTAGGGGCTAGAGGGCACGAAGTGCCTGGAAGCCCCACTTACCTGACCTAGAAAACATTAGAATTATATGGATATATTTAAATTAATTATAAAAATAAAATTGAATATATTGAAGTTTGAGTTTATAGGTATAAAATTTTAGAGGCATTTTGGCTGAGAACTATGGTCTGCGAGGTACATGGATAGAATCAGTACCTCGCAGACTATAGTTCTCTATATGGCGCCGAAAAATTTTTGGTGAAATGTCGTCGCATTTCACCAAAAATTTTTCGGCGCCATAGGAAGAATTGGAGGGTGTGAGATACTATTACATGCTATAGTACTCACACCCTCCAATTCTTAGCCAAAACGGCTAAAAATTGCTCACAATTTCAACAATTGTGAGCAATTTTCAGCCATTTTGGCTGAGAACTATGGTCTGCGAGGTACATGGATAGAATCAGTACCTCGCAGACTATAGTTCTCTATATGGCGCCCAAAAAAAATTTATGATTGTTTTTTATCAAATCTTATCCATATTATTCTATTAATGTTAATTATATTTTATCAATTATATTTTTTAAATAATAAACACAAAATCCACTAATTTAAAATTGGCGCCAAATGTCACTTTTGCTAGTGATGCATTTCGAGTAGGGGTAATTTTAGCTAAAAGTGACACGCTTGTAAAAAGTGACACACTCGTGAAGGGTGTGATTACCGATCGGTCATTTCGACAGTTTAGAATTTAAAATTTTTTATGGAACTGTTGCGAGTTTCATAAAGAATTTAAGGAATATAAGCAAAGATTTGAATCAAAATTTTAGACCTAAGCCGCTCGATTCGCTCGCGGCTTCCGCGAATTACAGATCAGCAAAGATTTGAATCAAAATCTTCGAACTAAGCCGATCGCTTCGCTCGCGGCTTTCTTTATTATTTTAAATTTGCATATTTCCATCAAAAGTTCATAAGGTAAAAAATTTCGTTTATTTTTACTAAGAAAAAAAAGGTTTTTGATAATAAATTTATTTTATTTCGAAAAAGTAGCAATAATCGTAAAAGGGTATTGATAGGCTTGCTAAAGTAACTAATTTTAGCTGTCAAATACTTTTGTATTTTGAAGTAAATTAGTATAAATTTGTTTTTACTTTTATTTCGAAAAAGTAACAATAATCGTAAAAGGGTATTGATAGGCTTGCTAAAGTAACTAATTTTAGCTGTCAAATACTTTTGTATTTTGAAGTAAATTAGTATAAATTTGTTTTTACTTTTATTTCGAAAAAGTAGCAATAATCGTAAAAGGGTATTGATAAGCTTGCTAAAGTAACTAATTTTAGCCGTCAAATACTTTTGTATTTTGAAGTAAATTAGTATAAATTTGATATTATTTTAACTCCCTTTGAAAACCTCAATTTTCCATACAGAGGGAACGGGAATAGCATCCAATATTCCCTGAGAATGGTTGCGCATTCTCAGTTCCCTCTATATTTCGAACGAAGCTCTCATCGGTCTTTTTTTTAATACTAAACGTTTTTTTTCCCTGTCACTTTTAGCTAAAATTTGGGTTTGCCGATGCATTTCGGTATGATATACTCATGTGTTTTATATATCATATGCAAATTTCTTCAAAAAAAAGATTTGACAAAAAGTGACAATTTTATGAAGATGAAAGTTGGATTCTAGCATGATATTAAATCAAATTGATGCACAAAAATATCAAGTTAAAAACTGTAAATTCATTAAATACATCACCTACTTCTCTGGGTGTATTTATCTCAACTTATCTGAGAGTATATTATTCTTCGATTCTGTTTTATTTCAGGAAAGTTCTGCCATTGGATGCATTAATTATAGTAGTTATTCATATGGTTGTCCTTTGTACTTTCATATTGGAAAGTCGATTTTTTGTCAAAAAATATTTTCGTGTAAATGTTTTGGACCAAAACGTGGAATTGCAGTATCGATTACGTAATCAAAAAGTGATGTCCCTATGCAGACAAATATGACTTCTTTCTCTGATTGCCAAGTTGATGAAGATTGTTTTTATATGCATAATCTTGGGAATGTTCTTTTCTTTGAAATCAATTTCTCTTATGTTGAAGCCAAAACAGGCGGTGCATGCCCTCATGCCGGATTTATATGCTATAATTCATTGCATCAAAATTATATTTCTTATAAATGTCGCGCAACTACGGTTGCATATTTGACAACTGCCACAGGAAAATGTAAAAATTCGATTTTTCATTCAAATGAGTGTTCAACTAGTTTGATAAATACTTATGTTGGATCTATTTCTATTAGTAATTCTTATTTTTATAATAATTCTCATTATAATGTAGAAGGAACTGTTTATCTTAAAGATTGTTTTTATGATCAAATAGTTCAAGCAGCATCTTATAAAAATTGTAATATTATTAGTGATGATCCATTAACTTTGTTTAATTTCTATATTCCTAATGAAATATTCAAGATCAGAGCTAAATGTTCTAACTTAATTAGTCTAAATCTAATTTATAATCCATTTTTAATTTTTATTTTAATTGATATGCAATAATTATCGAAATATTGCTAAAAATTTGAAAATCTAATGATATTCGCTTAATCTCCAAAATTGGAAACTTTGCTCATAATTTTTCAGAAGATGTGGACCCTGGATTTGAAACTACTATAATTCATATAATTATGGGTTCACAATCTGGATTTTTAATTTCTTCCATAAATTTTGTGATAACTACTTCATAAATCATTAAGATGAAGTAAATTAATAAATTCCAAAAAGTGACATTTATTGTTATGAAAGTCCAAACTTAAAATGATTTTAGATAGGATTGATGCCCAAAAATTTCAAGTTAAAAGTTGTAAATTCATTAAGTATAAAACTCAACTTGCTGGATGTGTGTGTCTGAGCTTGTCTGAGAGCATCTTATACATTGAATCAGTTTTATTCCAAGAATGTACTGCACTTGGATATGTATTTTATAATGACAGAGATTTTGGCTGTCCTTTGTTTTTTCATATTGGAAAGTCGATTTTTTGTCAAAAAATATTTTCGAATAAATGTTTCGGACCAAAACGCAGCATTGCAGTTTCGTTTACACAATCGATAAGTGATGTCCCAATGCAGACAAATATGACTTCTTTCTCTGATTGCCAAGTTGGCGGAGATTGTTTTTATATGCATAATTTTGGTAATGTGCTTTTCTCTGATATAAATTTCTCTCATATTGTAACGAATGGAAATGGAGCATGTCCTCATGCAGGATATAATTGTTATAATTCTTTGCATCAAAATTATATTTCTTATAAATGTCGTTCCACTTCCGTAGAGTACTTGTCGACAACGAATGGAAAATGCATAAATTCAGTATTCCATTCAAATATCTGTTCAAATAATTTGATTTTAAGGGTATAGTAAACTCAAAATTCTAGAGTTTTGAGAGTGCCAATAAACTCTATAGGCCTATATATATCTATATTTTAAAGGAGAGGTTACGCCATAATATTTGATATTATAAATTATTAATTCAAAATAAAAGTAGAAAATGAAACTAATTTTATTCTAACCTATATAAATATATCAATAATCTAAAATGATTATAGTCTGAACTATATTTTACCAGATTATCAAATATAAGAGAAATGAAATAAGGCATAAAAATATCATAGCATAATTATTGGATAAATGCATTAAAAAAAATCAAAATAAGAAAATGAGCATAATAATAATTTAATTAAAAACAAAAACAATAAATAAAATGTAATTTTCGTTAATCAAAGTCATCAATGTCTTCGTCTTCTGATTCCCATTCGGACTTGAAAACTTGATAATCTCCTCCTGGTACACTCTGAATGGATTTTTTGTATTTGTTCTGTTTTTTAGAACCTTTTGTAACAGTTTTTTGTTTCAATATCATTTTGGAGTAACAATTCTCTTCAAATGATTTGACACAATCTTCTGGAAGTGGGGGAAGATGTAATGCTTTTTGTATATCTCCGAGAAAATGCTCTGGATCATTCCATTCTAAGATTGCAACGTTAACTCTAATGTTAATGTTCTTCCAGGCTCTTGATTTGTCCAAATAGCATGCAATTTTGGAGTTAAACGCTTCATTCATGCAGGTAGATCCAATGGAAGAAACTTTGGAAACTATGGGTGTCCATTTGTGAACCCAGTCATAGAGCATGAATTGAAGTTGGATCGAATTGACACCTTTTTGCCATTCAAAGCATTTGTAATTGTGCGGTTCGCAAAAAGAATGATTGCCTACGTAATGGTAGACACAATTCTCCCACATTTTCGTACGTTTGTCAATATTTTTCTTCGGCAAAACATGACCAAAGCCACATACTTAGGCTTGCATTCAGACCCCAGAAAGGTCTCTATTTTTTCAATCTTCTGAGTCTTGTCGTTGAAAACTTCAACTGTCTTATGAGAAGCTGAGAACTTTGTAAAATCTTTTGAGATATTTTTTGATACATGACCTGGATCGAATCTTTCAAGATGAGAGACGCCAAATTCTTTAAAGACAGAGACACTTTTGTTATCTCGGTCTTTAATAATCTCTTTAACATCTTTCAAGATATTGTATTTCTTTAATTGCTTCAAGATGATTCGAGTTCCAGCACTTTCCATATTGTTGGAAGCTCCGGAATACTGAGCATGCTGTCTGTTTCCACCAATATGGTTGATGTTCACGCATGCAAGAACTCTTTTTGTGACAGCATCGAGCGCAGTTACTGTACAACTTGGCGAGTTTCGCCTGTGCGTCCATCTTGCATCAATGGATAAGTAACCACTGAAGGACTTTCTCGACAGCATTAGGGAAATACTTTTAAGTCTTCTAATCTTATCGTCACAAAATCTCTGTTGTCTCATGACACCACTCTTCACAGGGGGCTTAGTTCCACAAAGAGAAAGAAAGCGAGCACCTTTTGTATATGGCATTCCGGTCATTATGCAAGCACCAAGCATCTGTCGCGCTGAGAGTCGACGACGTTCGTGGAGAAAAATGTTATGCATTGCCTTTGTTTTCCGTTTTGGGTGAACAATATGGCCCATACAAAAAAAAATGAAATCCCGCCAAAAGTGAAAATTGAATAAAAAGTAATAATTAATAAATATATACTATATCATTAGATGAATATTTTGGAATAACATTTTAAAATCGAGGTTTTTCAATGGATAACGGTTCAATCAAAAATTTGACCCCATTTTAGAATCTACATTAAAAATGGAACATTTCTGTTGTTTCAAAATTCCAAAATAACGTTTCTATTCCTCTCAAAAGTAAAAATAAACTTTATTGGGGAAAAAATATTTTTATTTTCCAAAAAAAATGAAAACCTTAAATGCAAATCTAATTTTGATGCTTTTGTTTGTGATTTTTTGGATTTCGAAAAAAATTTGAAAATTCAGACAAGTTACCATTAACACTAATACGTTTCAGCGAGTCGGTCCCATCAGAGAAATTTTCATAAATCGGCGATATAATTTATTATTTCAGCAAAATATTCTCAGATCCAACTAGAATAAGGTCAAATTATACAAATTTAGCAAAGGCTAGTTATCATACCTATTCAATTAACTTTAATTTTAAATAATTCAAGACAATTCTCAAAATTACCTTAATAATCGCGTTCTCTTCGCAAAATGACGATTCATCATTCACTACCAGCATAACTGAGGGCTTGTGCTCACAGAATAATACAGATAATTTACTTATTAATGCAAAATTTAGTACCAAAAGGTAATCATAGAAGATACAAAAAAAGTTTCTTTATTTTGATTGCTGATTTTATTTCTTCTAAAATTTACCAAATCTAAAAAATCCAAAATTGAATGCTATTGAATTTCATGTTTATGTAACATATACTATTTATTATATAAGGAATAAAAATTTTATAATTTTAATCAAAAATAAAGGTGTACTAAATGCATACAAAACAAGGTATTTTTTACTCATCCAAAATATGTTAACAGTGCTATTTATATAATCAATATCCGAATTTCGAAATCATTTTGATGAAATCTTTATTTTAAAATTGAGTTGACTGTTAAAATCACCCGAGAAGAGGGATTATCTCAATGAAAATTACATGAAATAGCAAACGCACAAGATGGCACTATGCAGCTTTATATTGTTATACAGGATGAACATATAAAATGTTTGGAAAACACTTACTTCGTTCTACAAATGTGTATCTCTTTATATCAAAGATTCTTCTCAAATTATTGAGAGACTTCTCTCAAAAAAAGGAAAATTTGATAACTAAAAAAAATTATGGCATAACCTCTCGTTTTGCATAGATATATATTTACATGGTCACAGAGCTTATTTTCATTGTCAAAACTTAAAAATTTTTAGTGGACTATACCCCAGAGAACGAATTTCTCTGGCCGACACATAAATTGTCAGAGACTATAAGTACACTACATTAGGACAGAGTTCTTCCGAAGCCTCTCATCAAATGAGAGACTTCGGAAAAACTCTGTCCTATTCGATTAATTACAGAATCCTAGGCCTTTTGGGAACTAGGAAAGAGTAGTAAGAGTACTTTAAGGCAATGCTCATTACGAAGTCTCTCATCGAATGAGAGATTTCGTAATGAACATTGCCCATTTCGAGTGAACTTACATCCCCGACCCTCAAGGGTTCAGGGAGTAGTACTGTAGTCTATGAGAGCAATAACGTATAAGTAATATCGCCAGAAGCACAACAATTACGCAGCCTAGCTACGCTATCTTAGCAGCTAGGCTGCATAGATATTGTGCTTCTGGCTTGCAGAAACCTCATGGAAGACCCATTGGAGATCTCCAGCCGAAATCACTTGCTGATGTGGATGGAGCAGCACTATGATTGGCCAGATCAAAGGCTGCGTAGCATCCCAGCAAGTAGATAGTCGGCGGCGACACCAGCTGTGGTCCACCATGAGATTATGACACTTTTGCGATTTGGCGCCAAACTTTTTTTGGTATTGGCAAACAAGTGGCAAAAATGCCATTTTACAAATGTAAACTTTGTAAAGTTAAAATGTCATTTTTCCTAAAATGTACCGCACTCTGTAAATTCATTGGCTGTCACATTTGGGACAAAATGAAAAACTTATGAATTTTCCTATTTTATCTGGGTGTCTCTCAAATGATGAGGAAAATTTAGGGGGCGGTGCCATGTGAGGTGAAATTTATCATACACCGATTGGACCTTTTGCTTTCCCGAAAACATAGAATTTATATTGGGGGCCAAATATATGTGCATATATCTATACTAATCAAGCCATATTTACTCATATAGTATTGAGGAATAATGTGTTTTATATAAGATATGAATTTCAAAAATTTTGTTTTATTTCATTTGAATACAATGAGGTATCTATATATATACTCTATATTGTGTTTGTAAACTCATTTTGGTCACATATCCATTTTTTAATTTGCATCTTATTTGAGATTTCAAATTTTTATCGACAATCATATATGATCACATCGGCATTTGGAGATACTTATCTTGTATCTCCAAATATCGATGTGATCATTGTATTTAATTGTATATTGACCAAGAGATTCCGATGCAGAATATTCAAAGTAGATAGTTTTTCCATTCTGTACACATAGGTGCAGGGTCTATCACTGGCACCCTGCACCAATATGTGCAGAATGGGAAAATCTTGCACTTTTGCCTTTCGATGCGAATGTTGCAAACACTTTTCCCATTCTGCACATATATATGCAGGGTCTATCACTGGCACTCTGCACCAATATGTGCAGAATGGGAAAATCTTGCACTTTTGCCTTTCGATGCGAATGTTGCAAACACTTTTCCCATTCTGCACATATATATGCAGGGTCTATCACTGGCACTCTGCACCAATATGTGCAGAATGGGAAAATCTTGCACTTTTACCTTTCGATGCGAATGTTGCAAACACTTTTCCCATTCTGCACATATATATGCAGGGTCTATCACTGGCACCCTGCACCAATATGTGCAGAATGGGAAAATCTTGCACTTTTGCCTTTCGATGCGAATGTTGCAAACACTTTTCCCATTCTGCACATATATATGCAGGGTCTATCACTGGCACCCTGCACCAATATGTGCAGAATGGGAAAATCTTGCACTTTTACCTTTCGATGCGAATGTTGCAAACACTTTTCCCATTCTGCACATATATATGCAGGGTCTATCACTGGCACTCTGCACCAATATGTGCAGAATGGGAAAATCTTGCACTTTTGCCTTTCGATGCGAATGTTGCAAACACTTTTCCCATTCTGCACATATATATGCAGGGTCTATCACTGGCACTCTGCACCAATATGTGCAGAATGGGAAAATCTTGCACTTTTTTCAAAGAATGTTAAACATCGAATTTCAATTCGAGAAAGGAGTTTACAAATGCAGGGTAAAGGGACAATACCCTGCATTTGTAAACTCCTTTCTTGTAAAACCTTCCTCCAAAAAAATATAAAGATCACATTCTTCTTAAAACTCTCAAAAGCTCATTATTTCAATCTTATAATCATAAATAGGGTTGTTAAAAATATCAAAAATTAGCGTTTTGAAGACACCATGGTGTCTTATAATTTTCCCTTCCTTATTGGCGTGTAGAAATAAATGCGCCAATAGATTGAAGAAGAATTGTTTTTCTCTTAATGAACTTTAATCCTTTTGATATAAGAATATTAAAAACATTAATATAATTTCGATTTCGGAAATTAAATTTCCAAATTTTTTGTCGATTTCGGAAATAACAGGATCCCGCATCCAACACGCAACAACAAAACACAAAACACACTTTTTGGTTCTTTCATCGTTTTAATCGTAATTTATGTAATACATGATTTGTAAATTTTACAAAAATAGAACCTATATTATATTCTTTTCAAAGATTCTTGCAAATCATCAAAATAATTGTATTTTAAAAAACGATCAAATTATCCTTTCATTATTTTAAACTTAAATTAGTTTTTATGATTGTCTAAAGCAATCATATTTATTCATCATTAAATAAACAAAAATAATATTTGAGAGTTATTTCAAAAAAAAACGCATTGAATTATTAATTTGTCTCAATTTCAGTATTATAAATTTTTATAATTTCAATATTTTGAAATACACTTTTTAATATTTCAATATTTATGATATTTCAATGTATTAAGTGGTCTCAAATTGAGCTTCTCAAATATAAGTTGGCCTATTCAAATAATAAAATTAAATAATATTTAAAATAATAAATAAAAGTAGGGTTTCGTTTTGCTAAAATTGTCACTTTTATAGCATATTTGTTTTTGGATGTTTTGCGAAACCAAAAAAAAACTATGATATACAATGTGTGTGTAAAGAAAATACTTTATTTACTAGTTAAAAAAATCATTTGGTATTGATCAAGTTATTTTTTCTGGATAAGATATTATATGGATAATTGATAGAAAATACAATTATATAATCTTGTACCTGGTTTAATTAAGCTAATTGTCATCAGAAACTTGTAATTTTTATGAATTTCAGATTTTCTTTTCATTACTGCTTTTCTTAATAGGTCAAGTTCTTATTTACGTTATAAAGTATGATATTTCAAATATCAAGTTATCGTGTTTTTTGAGAAATTATGAGAAACAAACAAAAATGAAAAAGATAGGAATAGCAATGAATAGTGATGTGGGTATAGAAAATGTAAGAGATATGAATGCAAAGCAATCAGTATTTAGGATATTGACCATAGATTTCGAAAAAAAAATGCTGCATATTGAGCGAAAACTATGATTATATTATAAGGCTGTCATTTAAAGCATAATGAAACTATTCCCTTTTCATTTTAATCGAATAAGATAGTAAAGATTTTTTGAATTAGCTAGAAACTGATGAGATGTTTTCACAAATCAGATTTTAATCTCTATAATGCATAATTCACTCAATATCTCAATTTTGATATTGCGAGATATTTTTGCTATCGGTTTCGCAATTTTGACACAATAGCAAGAGGGTTCTATAAGCATTATTATCAACGTAGAATCTGAATATCATATCAGAAAATGTCGCAAATCTAACATTTACCCGACCAAATAGCAAAAATAATTGAATACTTTTCGCAAAAACTTTAAAAATCGATAAAAATATGAAATATAGATATTAAAGAGACTTTTTATATAATATTAAAAAAAAAGGGAGTGGGGCTTCCAGGCACTTCGTGCCCTCTAGCCCCAGTCACTTTTCTGTCACTTTTCAGGGTAAAAACATTTTTATTAAATATAAAATGAATTTTACAAAACCACCGTTACCCTTCTTTGGAAATAAGAGTAGATGTAAAGATATTCTATTGAGAGAACTTAAGAAACTACCGAATGGTCTAACATTTGTAGATTTGTTCGGTGGAAGTTTCTATATATCTCATTTGTGCCATACCGTATTCCCAAACTCAAAGATTATATGCAATGACTTCGACAACTATACGAACCGTCTCAAACATATACCAGACACAAACAAAATATTGAGTGAGTTAAAAGAAAAGATACCTATAGGTAAGATGGAAAGTATACCATTAGATAAGAAAAATATTGTCAGAGAGGTTTTGAAAAAAGCAGAGTATATAGACTGGGATAGTATATCTTCTAGACTATTGTATAGTGGTTCTATAAGAGTTCATGACATTGAAACACTTATGTCAAACGTTTTATATCTTAACTATACAAAGGTTTTCAAAGAGGACATAGAAAAATATACTGAGGGTATAGAGTTTGTGAGATGTCGTTGGACAGAGTTGTATGAAAAATATAAAAACAAGGAAAATGTTTTCTTTATAGTAGACCCGCCGTTCTATAACACATATGATTTCAATACCAAGTAGACTGGACTTTGAGAGACTCTTAGAAACTTTAGACGTTTTACATAACCATCCATGCTTTTACTTTACATCCGATAAAAGTGGTTTGGAAAGTGTCATGAGATGGTTAGAGGACATACATGACTATGAGTTTATATATGACAAGATAGAATATGAGAGAGGTCCTATAAACCGAGAAAGTGTCATAACAAAGAAATTTTATTGGTAAGTAAATGTGGTTTGAAATAGGACTACTTGTTTTAGGTTTTTTCCATTGTGTCATTTACTTATTTGACGTGGCAGAAAGATATAGAGAATATGAAGATGAACCAATGTCTGCAAATGTTCAGCATATGTACTCGTAAGAGATATTTTTATCTAATATTAAATGGACGCACAGAACTTAGCGAATGCACAGCAACCTGGACAACCAAACCCAGAGAATATTCCAAATGAAGTTAGAATACAAACTGCAATGGCAAACTATGGTCAAGTGCCAACAGATGTACAAATGCAAACTGCCATGTCAAATGGACGCTGCGTTAGGTTTGCCACCATGGTATGCAAATATGAGATGGAAAGAGTTTTATACAAACCCTAAAGTGGGATATAAACAACTCTATGCAGATGACGCGAACACAGGAGTTGACCCAGAATATGTTTTCTACCAGAGGAGAAACAGAATGTATGAGCTCCAGTTAAAGAATGCTATGGAACTCAACAGGAAACGTAAGAGACTAGGCGGACATTAGATTTTTACATATAGTAAAATGGGTTTCTTCAGTAGTATTGGAAACTTCTTCAGAAGAGTTGGAAGAGGTATATGGAATGGAATAAAATCTGTCGGAAGAGGAATTTGGAACGGATCAAAAATATTGGTAAAAGAGTAGGTCAGTTTGTTGGTATTATACCTAAAGACCCTGAACCAGAAGAACAAGCTCCTGTTATACAACAGCCTGAACCTGCACCACAGTCTAGTTGGCAACCAAATCCAACACCTCAACCGTATTAAAATTATATTTTTACCGTTCGATAGTAGTTGTATATGAAACTAAGTTCTAAGTAAAACGCATGGTATAATGGAATTATTCTCTTTCTTCCATCTGTTGTAAACCATACTTGAAAGTCTGAAATACTTCCACTCGGTGGTTCATATAGCTTTGTAGGTTTTTCGTAAAAGTCATTTGCCAAGCATAAAAAAGAGTTTTGTGCACCAGAAAATGAAGCATGAACTATAATAGCATCTGAGTCGAAAACATTTTCATATGTTCCATTAGGGTTTTCGACTTCATAAAATTCGGGTGTACTGGATATTCTGCAGGCTGATTTAACATCCTCAAAAATCTATACCATGCCAAGTTGTTATATTTTGTAGAAATATAAACGTCTTCTCCAAGGTCTTCTATTCTATTGATTTTAACAGTTGCATTTTTCCTGTCATATAAAATATCGAGATGGTACTCTCCTTCGTCAATGTTGTACTGTTTTGCATATTCGAGATAGATATCGTTTATTTTTTCTTGAAAAGCTTGAAGAGTTGTTCTAAGTTTACAAGCAAACTAAACTTGTAAAAGTTTTCCCTGTTCAAATTTCTCATACGTACGTTTCTCTTTGTTATAGTATCGAATTTCAAAAGCGACCGTAAATGGGAAACCATGTATGGCTTCTGAAATGAACTTCATTCTACGAAAGCCAACAGCTTTTGTGACGGATGGGTCTCTTAACCATCTTAGTGGGTAGTCAAAACGATAGCCTTCATGCTTTACGGTCTCTGTCTCAAACTTTTGACCGACATTCGTAAAAAGTTCATCTAATGGTTTAGTTGTAGCAACTCTTGAATTTTCTTTTTCTATTGAAAGCATTTTTTATCTAGAATAAAAATGTCGAAAGAAACAGCGTCTATGAGAGAAATACAACACAACCGACAACTCATTTTGCAAGCTCTAAATAAGAACACAACAAACTTTTCAAACTATTCTAAGATATCTGAGTCATTGAAAGAAGGAAACTTAAAACTGACCTTAAACCCAATGACAGACGAGTTTCTGTTTCAAGACAGTAAGAACCATACTGTCTGTATAAATCCAACAAAAGGAACTTTAAACGAGAAACCTATAAAAGAACTTCTTTTGAAAGCAGATGTTGACAACAAAGCTGACAAAGAGTATGTCATTGAAAAAGTTCAAGAAGAACATGACAGAGCAGATGCAACATATGCAACAAAAGAACATACTCATCCTGAACTAGCAGACAAAACATATGTTGACAATAAAATGTCAAGTGAAGTGACAAGAGCTGAAAACGAATATTCTAAAAAGACTCATACACATACCATTGCAAATATTACAAACTTACAAGAAACCTTAAACAGGAAAAGTGACGTTGGACATACACATACCATTGCAAATATTACAAACTTACAAGAAACCTTAAACAGGAAAAGTGACGTTGGACATACACATACCATTGCAAATATTACAAACTTACAAGAAACCTTAAACAGGAAAAGTGACGTTGGACATACACATACCATTGCAAATATTACAAACTTACAAGAAACCTTAAACAGGAAAAGTGACGTTG